ACTGGGGAATGTTTTCCCTACCTGGTACTGTAAAACATAAGGCATGTGAATCTGCTTTTCAAACAATATTAATTGGACATGCTAAATGGGAACCAGTAATATTGCCCAAGCTCACATAGTGCAGAGTAGAAGCTACAGTGCCGGTAGGGACAAATTCTCCACTTGCTAACGCTCAGTGGAGTATTTCCTGGGGCTTATGGCAAAAGCCTCTGGGCCGGGTGTGGTGGCTCATGCCTGTAATCCCAGCACTTTGGGAGGCCAAGGCGGGTGTATCATGACATCAGGAGTTCCAGACCAGCCTGGCCAACATGGTGAAATCCGGTCTCTACTAAAAATACAAAAATTAGCTGGGCATGGTGGCTATGGGCTGTAATGCCAGCTATTCGGGAGGCTGAGGCAGAAGAATCACTTGGACCCAGGAGGTGGAGGTTCCAGTGAGCTGAGATTGTGCCACCGCACTCCAGCATGGGCAACAATAGCGAAACTCTGTCTCAAAAAAAAAAAAAAAAAAAAGCCTCTGAACACCTCCCAGCAACAACTACTGGAACCTTTGGACTAGGGAATTTCCTCTTGATGGGCCTTGCTATGAAACATTAGCTGAAGTTACCTGTATACCACCTGAAATACCCATGCTGTCTTGGGTGATGTCAGAGAAACACTTTTTTTTTTGAGACAGGGCCTTGCCCAGGCTGGTCTCTAATTGCTGGGCTCAAGCAATCCTCCTGTTTTGACCTCCCAAAGTGCTGGGATTACAGGTGTGAGCCACTGTGCCTGGCCAGAGAAACATTCTAATGGGGACACAGTGCCCAGAAGAGTTCCATAGTAAAATGGAAATGGTTTCTGGAGGATCATGCTACCTGGGGAATGCAGGAAGTTGCTTTTCCACTATGACTGATTTTGGAACTATGTGAGAAACTGCGGGATTCTACAGTGCACAATAAACAGCTCTCAACCTACTAACCAACAGCCGCTTGGTTTGTGGATGGCAATTCCAAGGCACAAAATGCCAGGAAGAACTATTCTGTATCTCAGCAAGAGAGACAGGGACTGCTGATGGTTGTGGAACAGAGTCTGTGATGGGAAGGCCGTGAACATAGCTGGCAATCACAGGAGTAGATGCTGACTCAAATGGGCTTTGCTTATCCAATGGAAATGAAAACAGAGTGCAAAAGAAAGAAAGAAAAACAGAACAGAAGATGTTGCCTGGATTAGGACAGCCAACCATCATTTCTTCAGATTAAGGAACACACTGTACAGCACATAACGTCCAACAATGGGCAGAGAGATACGCTCTTTAGAGTAATAGTTTGATGGAGAAGTAGATGGGCAATTGAAACATTGTCTAAATCGGGGGAGATAAGAGCACGCTAGGCTGGCTTTCATATCTTCATGAGTGTGTGCTCACACTCAACATGAGTGGGACTGGAGTGGCCCTGATAGGTTTTTTCTGTTTTTCTGGCTGATCTGAGGAAGGGAAAGGTGGTTGGGGAGGATGCTGGTTTGACTATGCAGTCCTTACCAAGGGAGGAGTATGCTGGTATAACAACTATAATTTTTTATTTCTTCCTGAAATCATCTTGAAATTTTTCTTTTCTCCCTTACCTGATGCAGTGGTCCCAGGGCCAGGGCTGTTAGTACAAGTGCTGGATCAGGAGGGGTGATTTCTTTTTTTTTTTTTTGAGACAGAGTTTCGCTCTTGTTGCCCAGGCCAGCGTGTGCAGTGGCTCAGTCTCAGGTCACTGCAACTTCTGTCTTCCAGGTTCAAGTGATTCTCGTGCCTCACCTTCCCGAGTAGCTGGGATTACAGGCATGCACCACCACGCCCAGATAATTTTTGTATTTTTAGTAGAGAAGGGGTTTCACCATGTGGTCCGGGCTCGTCTTGAATTCCTGACCTGAAGTGATCCACCCGCCTTGGTCTCCCAAAGTGCTGGGATTACAGGTATGAGCCATCGCATCAGAATCAGATTTTTTTTTTTTTTTTAGATGGAGTTTTGCTCTTGTTGCCCAGGTTGGAGTGCAGTGGCGCCATCTCGGCTCACCACAACTTCCGCCTCCCAGGTTCAAGTGATTCTTCTGCCTCAGCCTCCTGGGTAGCTGGGATTACAGGCATGTGCCACCATGCCCAGCTAATTTTTTTGTATTTTTAGTAGAGACGGGGTTTCTCCATGTTGTTCAGGCTGGTCTCAAAACCCAACCTCAGATAATCCGCCTGCCTCAGCCTCCCAAAGTGCTGGGATTACAGGCGTGAGCCACCACGCCTAGCCCTGAACCAGATTTGTAAGCAAAAAATGTAATGATGTTGTTTAACCTTATGTTGAAATTCCTAAGGGCATGACTGGGATGGGTGTACTTTCACCCCATCTAGCAAAATTGCAGCAGAGAGTGAATGCAGGCCAGGCGCAGCGGCTCACGCCTGTAATCCCAGGACCTTGGGAGGCTGAGGTGGGCGGATCACGAACTCAAGAGATTGAGACCATCCTGGCCAACATGGCGAAACCCTGTCTCTACTAAAAATACAAAAATTAGCTGGGCGTGGTGGCGCATGCCTGTAGTCCCAGCTACTTGCGAGACTGAAGGAGGAGAATCACTTGAACCTGGGAGGTGGAGGTTGCAGTGAGCCGAGATCACGCCACTGCACTCCAGCCTGGCGACAGAGCGAGACTCCGTTTCAAAAAAAGAAAAAGAAAAAAAAAAAAAAAAAGAAAAGTGTGAATGTAGCTATACTGCCTAGTGGTAAAAACAGCTCATTAGTTCTACACCTATGTAACCTTACCCTATCTGAATGAGAATGGGTTGAGGAGGAGGTACTTGCTAGACTTGCATTGCTACCTGCAGTTTAGACCAACACAGTGGCAATTCTAATGTTCCTTCCAAAGGTGAAAAAGTTTGAGTATTAATGGAGAGAAAGAGAAACAGTAACTTCCAGTAAAGAAATTAAGGCCGGGCATTGTGGTCACGCCTATAATCCCAGTACTTTGGGAGGCCAAGGCAGGTGGATCACTTGAGGTCAGGAATTTGAGGCCAGCCTGGCCAATATGGTGAGACCCAGCTTTATGGGAAGTTGTTTTAAAAATTAGCTGGGCATGGCTGGGCTGGTGGCTCACACCTGTAATCCCAGCACTTTGGGAGGCTGAGGCGGGTGGATCATGAGGTCAGGAGATTGAGACCATCCTGGCCAACATGGTGAAACCCCATCTCTACTAAAAATACAAAAATTAGCTGGGCATGGTGGCACGTGCCTATAATCCCAGTTACTTCGAAGGCTGAGGCAGGAAAATCACTTGAACCAGGGAGTCAGAGGTTGCAGTGAGCAGAAATCACGCCACTGTACTCCAGCCTGGCAAAACAGTGAGACTGCATCTCAAAAAAAAAAAAAATTAGCTGGGCATGATGGCATGCACCTGTGGTCCTAGCTACTCAGGAGGGTGAAGTGGGAGGATCACTTGATTCTGGAGGTTTGCCTGAGGCCAGAAGGTCAGGGTTGCAGTGAGCCATGATCAAACCACTTTGCTCCAGCGTGGACAACAGAGCAAGATCCTGTGTGGGGAAAAAAAAGAGAGAATGAATCAATTAGTTATTAATTGAGGATAATTCAATATTATGTTAACAACTCAAAAACTCAAGAGTCTCTGATTAAGAAATGACATTATGTCTTAGCTCCATCATCCCAGATGCCTGAAAGGGTAAGCTGTATATTTACCAAGACCACTTCTGCTTTGGAACCTGACAAGATTGAGAGGAAACCTACAAAACTGAGTGGCCTCATCTTGGGAGATATTCAAACTGTAAGCCAAAAATAAAATTCCAGGGCCCCCTGACCATCTGAATGGACCCCTCCTCTTGGCCAAGGACATTCCAAAGTTAACCTGAAAAACTAGTTCCATGATGGAAAGGAGGGGCTGGACATGCCTCACTATACCCTCCTCCCTTTTGGAATTTGGGAAATACCAACCAGCGTTAACATCAACACAGACCTTAAGTCTGATAAGAAGCATTTACAATCTATTTTCTCTGAAGCTGGCTACCTAGAGGTTTCATCTGCATGATAAAACCTTGCTCTCCACAGCCCCTTATTATAACCCAGACATTCGTTTCTATTGATAATAACTCTTTAAACCAGTTGCCAGTTAGAAAATTTTTAAATCTGACTATGACCTGGAAGCCCCTCTGCTTTGAATTGTCCCACCCTTCCAGACTGAACCAACGTAAATCTCACATGTATTGATTGATGTCTTATGTCTCCCTAAATGTATAAAAGCAAGTTCTAACCCAAGACCCTTGGGCACATGTTGCCAGGACCTCCTGAGGCTATGTCACGGTTGTGTCCTTAACCTTGGCAAAATAAACTTTCTAAATTGATTGGGATCTGTCTCAGATACTTTTGGGTTCATGAAACAGTACGATGGTCTGGATCATTCATGATTGTACGTGTGTGTGTATATATATACACACACACATATATAGTAAATATATATATACATATATAGTAAATATATATACACACATATATAGTAAATACATATACACATATATATAGTAAATATATATATAGTTTATATAGAGAGAGTAAAAAATCCGTGGTTGAAAACCAGGTGGTGGCCTGTGGTGTTATGATATATATATTATTTTTACCCAGGGTTCCTGACTCATAACTCCCATAGGCCCTGTCAGAACCTTCTGTTAGAATGTTGGCTGTGTTAGGCCTCAGGGGCAGGCCTCTGACCTTCTTCTCCCCATCTTCCATTCTAATGTCCTCCTGACTTTAAGACCTTCCCATGAGAGGGTCCCACCCTATACCCTGGGGGAAGAAATGCTGATGTCATGAAGCTTCCAGAAAAACCCAAAAGGACTGGATTTAGTGAACTTCCAGACAGCTGAACACATGGAGGTTCCTGGAAGGTTGCACCAGGGAGGGCAAGGTGGCTCCACACCCCTTCCCCTATGCCTCACCCTACATGTCTTACATGCCTCTTTATCTGTATCCTTTGTAATATCCTTCATAATAAATAGGTATATGTAAAAAAAGAAAAAAGAAAGAAAAAAGAAAAGAAAAATGGAGTGATACAGCCACAAAGAAACCTAGAGCCACCAGAAAGCTGCAAGAGGCAAGAAGGTTTCTCCCTGAGAGCCCCACAGGTAGAGCAGCCCTGCTGACGCCGTGCTTTCAGACTTCTGGTTTCTAGAACGGGGAAAAAAATACACTGCGATTGTTTACAGCAGCCATAGGAAACTAATACAGAGACGGAGGAGTCCTGGATGCCCCTGACCCTCACCCCAGGTTTCTGAGTGTCTGATGTTGTCATTTACTGAGTTAGAGAAGTCTGGGTTTCTGGGGGTTGGGAGATTAAGAGTTCTGATTTGGACACATTACGTTTGAAATGCTTGTAAGATGTCCAAGCAGAGATGGTTGATCAAGAGCTGGATGGTGTAGTCTGGAACTCAGAGGAGGATCAGGTGGGAAGGTAGAAACTGGGAACTGTCAAGCGTACAGATCACATTCTTTTTAAATTTTAATTAATTGATTTTTTTTTTAGAGACAAGGTCTCGCTTTGTTGCCCAGGCTGGAGTGCAGTGGTGAGATTACAGCTCACTGTGGCCTGGAACTCCTGGCCTCCCAGCTGGGACTATAGGCATGTGTCGCCACACCGGCTAATTTTTATTTTATATTTTAGTTTTTAGTTTTTTTGAGATGGAGTCTTGCTCTGTCACCCAGGCTGGAGTGTAGTGGTGCAATCTCAGCTCACTGCAACTTCCACCTCCCAGGTTTAAGCAATTCTCTGCCTCAGCTTCCCGAGTAGCTGGGATTACAGGCACCCGCCACCATGCCCGGCTAATTTTTTGTATTTTTAGTAGAGATGGGTTTTCACCATCTTGGCCAGACTAGTCTTGAACTCCTGACCTCGTGATTCACCCCACTCGGCCTCCCAAAGTGCATGAGCCATTGTGCCTGGCCTCATTGGCTAATTAAAAAAATTTTTTTTGTAGAGACAGGGTCTCACTATCTTGTCCAGGCTGGTCTCAAATTCCTGGGCTCAAGCAAACTTCTTGCCTCAGCCTCTCAAAGTGATGAGATTACAGTGTGAACCACTGTGCACAGATAATTTAAAAAAATTTTTTTAAAGACTGGGATCTTGCTATATTGCCCAGGCTGGTCTTGAACTCCTGAGGTCAAGCAATCCTCCTGCCTCAGCCTCCTAAAATGCAGGGATTATAGGTGTGAGCCATCATGTCTAGTCCCAAATACTTTTTTCCGTTTGTTGACTGATGCCTGGCCTTCCATAATTAGAGATTCATTCCTTTAGATATTCAAACATAAACACTCTTTGGGAGAAGTCATTCATATGCTTTTTCTTTTTCTTTTTTTTTTTCTTTTTTTGAGACGGAGTCTCGCTCTGTCGCCCAGGTTGGAGTGCAGTGGCCGGATCTCAGCTCACTGCAAGCTCCACCTCCCAGGTTTACGCCATTCTCCTGCCTCAGCCTCCCGAGTAGCTGGGACTACAGGCGCCCGCCACCTCGCCCGGCTAGTTTTTTTTTTTGTATTTTTAGTAGAGACGGGGTTTCACCGTGTTAGCCAGGATGGTCTCGATCTCCTGACCTCGTGATCCGCCCGTCTCGGCCTCCCAAAGTGCTGGGATTACAGGCTTGAGCCACCGCGCCCGGCCCATATGCTTTTTCTTTATATATTTGTTAGAATTTGTTTATCAGATACTTTCCTTAGAGCAGGTTATGATGCAGTGGGTGATAGAGTGTGAAAGAATGAAAGTTAGGCAGGCTGAGTAGAAAAAGGCAATCAAGAGAACCTGGAACCTCTAAAGCCTGACCATCTTTGCTTTACAGCTTTGCATGGGAGGGAAGCGGCAGCCCAGAGAAAGATTCCTCACCACTATGCCATTGCCTGAAAACTTTTTTTTTTTTTTGAGACAAGGTCTGGCTCTGTCACCTAGGCTGGAGTGCAGTGGTGCGATCTCAGCTCACTACAACCTCTGCCTCCCAGGTTCAAGTGATTCTCATGCCTCAGCCTCCTGAGTAGCTGGGATTACAGGCACATGCCACCACACCTGGTGAATTTTTGTATTTTTAGTAGAGACGGGTTTTCGCCTTATTGCCCAAGCTGGTTTCAAATTCCTGGCCTCAAGCGATCCACCCGTCTCGGCCTCCCAAAGTGCTGGGATTACAGGCGTGAGCCACCGCACCCAACCTGAAAACTCATTTATCCAACTTTTTTCCCCATAGATGGAATCTGAGCCGACACACCCTTCTCCAGAATGAGAAGAAACGTGAAAGATACACAGTGGACGTCCCTGATACACAGTGGACGTCTTTACAATATTAAGAGAGGAAATCTCCTGCACGGACTTCACAGCATTTTGTCAAGGGCTGTTCTGTAGTTTCTGTATTCTCCAATGTGATGGTTACTTTTACTGGCCTGTCTATGTTACCTCCTCTTGTCTCCATGGCTGATATCATCAGCCTAGCACCAGCCTATTGTGACTCTCCGGAAGTACTACAGCAGCCTCCTACATCTGGCCAGATCCCAGGCAACCCTCCACCTACCCCAACCTTCCTGCTAGCTCTTCGAGAAAGGGAGCGTTTTCAAGACGCAAATATGCTTCCCATTCTTCAGTGCTCCTTGGACAAAAAAACCATAAAGCTTTGTTTGATCTAACTATATTTCCAGCTTTATCTCTCCCCTCCCTCGCCCATCCCAACACCCATGGGGACTTGGCTCTCTGAGATCCAGCTGCACTGACATTCATTCAGTCTTTCCAGCTCCACAAACCCTGGCTCAATCTGGAATGTGTCTCCCACCTCTTCATTAGAAAAGCAGTCCTGACCTCTTTCCCTCCCCAGCTGTATCAAGTCCCCCTATTTTGAGCTTTCTGGCACCGTGTACCTTTTCTGCCTGATTCTTATGAGAGTTGTAATTATATGTATATATTTTTTAGTGGGATTATTTTATTAATGTCTCTTCCCTACCAGATTTTAATCTTCATGAGAGCAGGTATCTTGTTCTTGGTGGCATCCCTCACATCCAGCCGCCCTGGGCCAGTTACAGGATCTCATTGTATGTTGGCTGGATAGATGAAATAAATGAACATATTTTGCCACTAATTATTAAGTTACCAGATGAATTGTAAGAGTTCCCAGGATGGCTCACTTCTATGTGGCTCTTTAGGGTTTAAAAGTGGTTCATAATAATATTGAGTCTGATTTTCTCCCTACTGGGGAGATTCCAACTCTGAGTAAAAGGAAGTAAGTTCTTATAGGCCCCAGGAGAAATGGTATCTCTTTTGTGATAGCAACCAGCAGGAAGGGTTTCTCTTACGAATGAAGGGAAAACTGAATGAAGGACGATGTCCACCTTGACATAGAGAGCCACTCCCTCACCCCCATGTACACACTTTTACAGTGTGCTCTGGTTATTTGGAAATGTAAGTTTGGCCTCCCTGAAAGAAGAGGGTAACTAGCCGGGCGCGGTGGCTCACGCCTGTAATCCCAGCACTTTGGGAGGCCGAGGCGGGCGGATCACAAGGTCAGGAGATCGAGACCACGGTGAAACCCCGTCTCTACTAAAAATTACAAAAAATTAGCCGGGCGCGGTTGTGGGCGCCTGTAGTCCCAGCTACTCGGGAGGCTGAGGCAGGAGAATGGCGTGAACCCGGGAGGCGGAGCTTGCAGTGAGCCGAGATCGTGCCACTGCACTCCAGCCTGGGCTGGGCGACAGAGCGAGACTCCGTCTCAAAAAAAAAAAAAAAAAAAAAAAAAAAAAAAGAAGAGGGTAATTAAACTCTATCACTTTAAATAGAAAGGAAGACACAGGGGCGATGCTTGATAAAATTACCAAAAAACATTAATTTAAGAAAAAAGTCAGTAACATGCCTCACATGTAGTTCAAATTTTTTTTTTCAAATATTAAGTCTCCAAAACATGGCTCTAGTCTTCAGAGTGAGGAAAATATGGTGTACATCTGCACATTTGCTTTCTCATGGCTTGTGTTTAATTATCCACAAAGAAAAAAATTCACAAGATGTTTCATGTTCTTCTCTTTTAACTGCCAAAGCAGGAACTTCTGAGGCTTTGATAAAATTGGTTGCAATCCCTTTGAAAGTTTTTATTAACGTAGACAGAGTATGTTTTTAATCTTTTGTATTTTGAACACCCAAATTTATGTTCTGTGATTTGTTCATGCTTGATTCTATCATATTTCAAGTAAACAAGGAGTCAGCAGTTTTTACCCAGCAAAATATATTGGGATTTAAAAAAAATATAGTGCAATGATGATTAATGAACAAACTAAGTATTAAATCAGAGGCTTCTTCATTGGGACAGAAAGGAAGTCTTGAGACCTTGTGAGAGATTGATATCTACATTGATTTTAATGTAAACATTAGAGACATTCCACTGTGAACACATTTCTTCCCAGAGAGAAATGTCTCTCTCTGGAAAGAGAGAGAAAAGCATAATTACAAAGAAAAGCACAATTTTCTAGGACGATGCATACAAATTTAACCATAAGGTAATCGTTTATATGATAAACATTAAATGAGATTTCATACCTTTTTTGTTGTTGTTGTTGAGACGGAGTCTCACTGAGTTGCCCAGGCTGGAGTGCGATGGTGCCATCTCAGCTCACTGCAACCTCTACTTCCTGGGTTCATGAGGTTCTCCTGCCTCAGCCTCCCAACTATCTGAGATTATAGGCACTCGGCTAAAGAGATTTCACACTCTCTTAAATCCAGAAAAGTAATGCATGTGGTACAATATTTCCTTCTAGGTGTTCTTGAATTCAGTCTGTGATGACAATCTAGAAATTAATTTTTTTTTCTGACACAGAGTGTCACTTTGTTGCCAGGCTGGAATACAGTGGTACAATCCCAGCTCACTGCAACCTCCGCCTCCTGGGTTCAAGCCATGTCTCCTGCCTCTGCCTTCCAAGTAGCTGGGACTACAGGTGTGCACCACCATGCCCAGCTAATTTTTGTATTTTTAGTAGAGATGGGGTTTCACCATGTTGGCCAGGATGGTCTCGATCTCTTGACCTCGTGATCTACCCACCTTGGCTTCCCAAAGTGTTGGGATTACAGGTGTGAGCCACCATGCCCAGCCTATTTTAATGTTTTAATGGCCTGTGATCTACTTTTCAAATAAGAAAAGATGTAGTGAAATGTTAATTAAGCATTTTACTTCCGTCTTCCAGAATAGAAGCTCTCTGAGGCTGAGAATTTTTTTTTTTTTTTTTTTTTTTTTTTTTTTTTTTTTTTTTTTTTTGAGACAGGGTCTCAGTCTGTTACCCAGGCTGGAGTGCAGTGGCATGATCATGGTTCACTGCAGCCTCTGCCTCCTGTGTTCAAGTGATCCTTCCACCTTAGCCTCTTGAGTAGCTGTAGTTCCAGCTACTCAGGAGACTGAGGCAGGATGATTGCTTGAATCCAGGAGTTCCAGGCCACAGTGCCCTATGATCACATCTGTGAATAGCCACTGTACTCCAGCCTGGGCAACATACCTAGGTGTGATGGTTTATTCCTGTAATCCCTGCACATTGGGAGGCCAAGGAAGGAGGATCACTTGAAGCCAGGAGTTCAAGAACAGGCTGGGAAATAAAAGGAGACTTACAAAGAAATAAAAAATTAGCCAGTCGTGGTGGCACACACCTGTAGTCCCAGCTACTCAGAATGCTACAGTGGGAGAATCGCTTGAGCCAGAGAAGAGGCTGCAGTGATCCATGATTGCACCATTGCACTCCAGCCTGGGTGACAGAGTGAGACCCCGTCTCAAAAATAAATAATGGCCGGGCACAGTGGCGCATGCCTGTAATCCCAGTACTTTGGGAGGTTGAGGCAGGTGGATCACGAGGTCAGGAGTTCGAGACCAGCCTGACCAACATGGTGAAACCCTGTCTCTACTAAAAACACAAAAATTAGCCGGGCATGGTGGCATGCACCTGTGATCCCAGCTACTCAGGAGGCTGAGGCAGGAGAATTGCTTGAATCCAGGAGGCGGAGGTTGCAGTGAGCCAAGACGGTGCCATTGCACTCCAGCCTGGGCGACAGAGGGAGACTGTCTAAAAAATAAATAAATAAATAAAAATAAATAAATAACTAAATAACTAAATAAATATCTTAATTATATTGACTGAATAAATTGCCCAGTCTGACTTTCATCTTTGGTTGTGTAGATATCATCCCTAAAAGGTACCTTATAAATGAGATGCAACATTTATACTCTAATTAGTTAAATTGGGATGGTATAGGTAAAAAACATGATAGAACTTAGTAAATATTTTGAGAATATTAAAGGCCAGGCACGGCGGCTCACGCCTGTAATCCCAGCACTTTGGGAGGCCGAGGCCGGTGGATCACGAGGTCAGGAGATCGAGACCATCCTGGCTAACACGGTGAAACACTGTCTCTACTAAAAATGCAAAAAATTAGCCGGGCATGGTGGTGGGCGCCTGTAGTCCCAGCTACTCTGGAGGCTGAGGCGGGAGAATGGCGTGAACCCGAGAGGCGGAGCTTGCAGTGAGCCGAGATTGCGCCACTGCTCTCCAGCCTGGGTGACTGAGCAAGACTCGGTCTCAAAAAAAAAAAAGAAGAATATTAGAGAAAAAACTGATTCTCATAAATTGATTCTATTTAATTACCACTTACAGTAGGTCACTCAAAGTCCATTCTCCTTGAAAAGGACTCTGGAAGTACACTAAAAATGTTCAACCCACTAGTTGCAAAAGCTTCCATCACTGCAATATATCATTTCCAGGGATGCTTTATTTTATATATATATATATTTTTTTTTTTTTTCCTCTCTCTTTTTCTTTCTTTTCTTTTCTTTTTTTTTTTTTTTGAGATGGACTTTTGCTCTGTTGCCCAGGCTAGAGTGCAGTGGCATGATCTTGGCTCACTGCAACCTCTGCCTCCCAGGTTCAAGATATTCTTGTGCTTCAGCCTCCCGAGTAGCTGGCATTACAGGTGTGCACCACCATGCCCAACTAATTTTTTATTTTTAGTAGAGATGGGGTTTTGTCATGTGGCCAAGGCTGATCTTGAACTCCTGGCCTCAAGTAATCCACTCACCTTGGGCTCCCAAAGTACTAGGATTACAGGCCTGAGCCACCATACCCGGCCAGTTTATTATATATTAATTAGTTAATATTTGAATTTGATGCCTTCCAGATGAGATTTTTATGCAATATCTTAGTGATTTAGGAAGACAACCTAGCGTTATTAGTTATAAGGTTTCAAATTTTGGGTGTGTCCACTCTAGGGAAGATATCTTCATATGGCTCATCTCATTCTTTTTGGTGTTTTCATTGCAAAGGGTGACTTCTTTTTTCTCACTTCTTTACCATATTCTATGATTATGCCCTGTTTGGATTGTGTACTCCCATAGGGAATACACAAACACACACACACGTATGTATATGTATTATGTATACATCTTCTTTTCATAATGGATTTTTTTGTTTTGAGATGGAGTTTCACTTTTGTTGCCCAGGTGGGAGTGCAATGGCTCCATCTTGACTCACCACAACCTCTGCCTCCCGGGTTCAAGCTATTCTCCTGCCTCAGCCTCCCGAGTAGCTGGATTACAGGCATGCGCCACCATGCCCAGCTAATTTTGTATATTTAGTAGAGACGGGGTTTCTCCATGTTGGTCAGGCTGGTCTCGAACTCCTAACCTCAGGTGATCTGCCCGCCTCGGCCTCCCAAAGTGCTGGGATTACGGGCGTGAGCCACCACACCTGGCTTCACCACAGATTTCTATTGGAGTTTTAAAAAGTTGTATTGGGCTGGGTGCAGTGGCTCACACCTGTAATCCCAGCACTTTGGGAGTCCAAGGCGGGTGGATCACCTGAGGCTGGGAGTTCGAGACCAGCCTGACCAACATGGAGAAACTCAGTCTCTACTAAAAATACAAAATTAGCCAGGTGTGGTGGCGCATCCCTGT